AATCTAACCAATCTAATGATTCGAAAGTAAAAACTCACGCATAAAAGTAATAAGCTGTTTGTGAACAACTGTGTAGCTATAGCGGAGTTGTTCAGTTGATGTCTCATTTTCACTATATGTAAAGTTATAGAGTAGTCCCCAGAAGTAGGAAAATGGTTGGTTAAGTCCCTGACTGAAACGTGAGAGAGTTTATACTGGGCTAGGCCATTGTGGAAACATTTTTACCCATATGTGTCAGTTTTTAAAATTCCATGAAGTACTTCCATGAAGTACCACAACTAGATACGTGAAAGTTGACAAAATCGAAAGATCAAATTAAAATGGGAAAGGATATTATATTGAGTTATTTGTAGCTGACTCTAGACCACAAGTGACACATGACTTGCCCAAAATACACACCCAAGCCTCTCCAACACCAATACTATTTTCTATTTGAAAATTCAGTTATAATATCGCCAATTTTTAATACCATTATTGTTCTAATTTAGAAAAACGTGACTATACAATATATAATTTCTTTAAATTTTGAAATAAATAACATTTTTACAGTAGATGAAGAATCATTTATAAATCTTCCATTGGGAAAGACTATGAATATTTTGATGGATAAATTAACTTTGGATAATAGAAGTAACTCAAGTTTAGATAGAAAAGTTCTTGTCGAACTTTTGGAAACTGTAACTTGGGTTTCAGTTTTTATACTTGACAATAACTTGAACCATAAAGAGTTAGAGTGGCTATAGGTTTACCTCTCGGTCCAATCTTTGGAAATGTCTTTATTAATATGAAGAATTACGAAGAAATGACTTTCTTAAAAATGTGGATTTTTTTCTAATTTTTAAATATAGATCACATATGAAAAATTTTCTAGTATTTCATAATTCCTTGTGAATCTGAAGAAAATTCCATACTGGCCTTTCTAGATACTTTGAACATGAATAATAATAGAATATTTACAACTACTGTACATTGGGAACCAATATTAACCGACCTGCGCCAAAATTTTCCGCTGTTGTTTCTTACAAACCAAAGTGAACGGTGTTGTTGTTTTTCGTCCTAAACCTTGTACAATTAACAATATTAGAACACTTATTAATAGGTCTTAATATGTGTTTAAGCAGTAATCTGTTTGATAATGAAGTTAAATACTTGTTTAATTATTTTTTTTACAATACTTATCCAAGTAAACTGTTTTACACTGCGCTGAAAAAGTTTCCTAATAACAAGTCTGAATCATTACCAGTAACGTATGTAGACTGTCGTAAGGATTTACAATTCATTATGCTGCTTTACTTAGGAAACGAGTATTCACATTCGTGAATACTCGTTCAGTTTCTGTTCACTAATAAACATAACATTGCAACGATCTTCTCCCCCGTTACCTAAGTCCGGTATTTTATATTTATTCAAATGTTCTAGCTGTACAAGTCGATAAGTGGGGAGTACCTCGCAGAACTTTACAAATTGCTTCTAAGAATATATTAGAAAATCATTCCGTACGGGACTGTCCATATTTAAACCCGCTTACTTTGCAATCAGGGATCTCTGTGACTAAATCAACCATCCTCTCACTTGTGAGGACTTTACAGTTCTGATCTCAACACCACAGAGATTTGATCTCATCATCACTGAATCTTTGAATACAGTGAGAATGAAGCCTCAACCGGATATCTCCAGCATATCTAAACATTTTTTAAGACATTATTTATTGATTTTAAGCGTGAGTTTTAAAGTTGTCTCAGTAGGTAGGTAAGGTTATCTACCGTCAGTGTTAAGATAATTTGTGTACCTTAGATTTTTTAAACGTTTAACTTTGCTTTAAATATAACATTTGTGATACACAGAAGCTACTCTGGTAAACTGATATTTTATATTTTAGGAAAGATGATGAGGATTGAGATTCCGAAGCATTTGAAAAAATTAAGATGTTTACCACGTCTCGTGTATATATATATATATATATATATATATACATATATATATATATATATATATATATATATATATATATATATATATATATATATATATATATATATATAATATATATATATATATATATAATGTTGCAGTTTAAAAACTGTAGTGTAAAGCACCCTTCTGGCAAGACAGTGATGGAGTGAATGATGGTGAAAGTTTTTCTTTTTCGGGCCACCCTGCCTTGGTGGGAATCGGCCGGTGTGATAATAAAAAATATAAAAATAATATATATATATATATATATATATATATATATATATATATATATATATATATATATATATATATAATATATATATATATATATATATATATAATATATATATATGTATATATATATATATATATATATATATATATATATATATATATATATATATATATTATATATATATATATATATATATATATATATATATATATATATATATATATATATATATATATATATATATATATATATATATATATATATATATGATGTATTATATATATATATATATATATATATATATATATATATATATATATATATATATATATATATATATATATATATATATATATATATATATGTATTTGTTGAGATAAGTAAATGGAATTTTTCAGTGTGTTTGCAAACGTTTAAGAAAATGTGACAGTAAATAAGAGCACACCTGAAGCAGGACGTAATCACATGGGAAACACAACACACTTCGATACACTGTATATGCTTATTTTTTCGAGGACATCGTTTTCTTCTCTTAATTCGTTTCGTATTTGCAATGCATGCAACATTAATTTAATAACACTAAGCCTATTCGTAAACATATAGCCATCAACAGTAGGCTAATAGTGCCTAGGCATCTTCATTATTTAAAGCCTATTCATACGCACTGTCTCAACTCTGCACTAGTTAAAACATTCAGTTATGTACACTGTATATCGTCATTTCTTCCCGTGTCCGTTCCGTCGATTCCTGTGTATTATTGCAGTTCTGTCTATGGCGAAAATGTATTTAAAAGGAAATTCATAAGTTAGTAAATAGAAATAATGCACTTTCAACTAAGGGGATAATTTAGAGGAAATGATCGTTTAGCTGCTATGCACAAAGTTGTCCAGACTGTAAATATTGTTAACATGACATGAATTATACACTGGGCTGAGGATAATTAGAGCTCCACCCTCAGACATCAAGCAGGCAAGGTGGTCACCACGGCACACACTACGTGCCAAACAATAGAAGCACAATGTTCACATTTATTACAGCAGCCTTTACAAGAAGGGAAAGGGTCGAGGAAAAACAAAATTTCAGCGTTGTTAGAAAAAGAACAGTCTTAATTTAGGTTAAATAGCCATTCGCTAAAGTTGAGAAGCAACAGGAAAGTCACACGAAACGGACACGTAGAGGGCACGATCCACTCTCCTAGCACAGAAAGACAACATTGTATCTACACATTATACCTACACAATCTGCAACGGCATACTGCAAATCTCTCAACTTTCCCGCAGACTCCTTACACATGGATGTTTAACTTGCCAAGTCTTCCTTGTAAATGAATGCTGTTGAGGCTATAAGTAACGTTCCCCCAAACTTATTACTCTAAGGTTGGAGATGGCCTGAGCCTCGGGGTGTTGCAGAAGCATGTATTCTACACACTATCGACAACAACATGCTCATTTTATTACCAAAATTTTTGTTAAGTTTTTCGTAATATAATCCTCAATCTTTTCCTTACATGGCTTATTTTCACTTTCCCATTACATTTCAACTTTGTGTTATTGCTTAAAAAAAATTGTCAAATAAGCTCTTATGTATTACATGGCAGTGATTTAAAAAATGGTGGAGTTTAAACAAAGCAGAATGGTTGATTATTGATAATCTTCCTCAATGCCTTTTAAGACACAGAGGATGGCTTCTTTTCTGGCCGAATAGCTTTCATTCAAATGCTGCTCAAGCAAGGTAAGCACGAATTAGCTACTGTTACAACAGAAAGATTAGTTATTCTGTAATTCCTATCTGTTATAGCAACAGTAGTATATTTCTATAAATTGCTAAGTAAGCAGAAAAAAGGCTGTTTATTTGCTGAGGTAAGAAAATTCAATAACCATCAAACTGCTGTTTAAATAGCAGGAATACCAAGCTCATATTTTTTTCCTTTAATATAGGAAGAGGCAGTGTGTCTGCTGACGTTACATAAAGTAGGAGTCTTACAAGAGAAACACCAAAGGTCTTTCAAATAACATGATGTATTTGAAGGTCAACAACAATTTGTATTGTTACATGCCATGAACAAATATAATGAAATGGAATGTACAGTGACATAGACATTGTCCTCAGAAGCAAGAAAGACACATGCAGGGAGAACACAGACTGTGCTTGACACTGAAGTAATGGGCAGTGGAGCTCCGAGGTGGCATCCAGCAGTACTGGCGCCAAGGCCCGTTGTGCATGGTACCTACGGAGGTAGATAGTGTAGAGTGCATGACAGCCCACCCATTGACCCCGCCGCCATACACTCTACAGTACCTACCCTCTTCTAACTACAATGAGTATAGCAGCTCAACGACCCGCTTAGTTACGGCATCCTCTGGGGAACCTCTTTGTTCCAGCTTGTCAGGTAACACTGACTAACATACAATTTGTTAAGAAGAGAGAATAACAGCCCCCGCAAGAGCCTCTCAGACTCTGACACGCTGCCACCTCGAACTGGACCTTCCGTGGTGGCAGCGTGGGATTCACATCCGCCATATGACACATTGTCGACACCCACCCTGATCTGAACACACTGTGCCTCCTCGTGTACTATGGCGGATGAGACTTACACTATATTGGGATGAGTACACCAGTAACACCGTTGAACACAATAACAGGATTAAAAAGGATTCCCATAGTCCATGCGTCTTAAATCTTTCCCTCAGGAAATTATATATATATATATATATATATATATATATATATATATATATATATATATATATATATATATATATATATATATATATATATATATATATATATATATATATTCATTATCCCCTACATCCTCCATGGGAAGATATTTATTAATGTATGATGACCTAGATATGAAGTTTAAAATATTCATGGATGGTGTCACGGGAAGATGACTCCTTAGAGCATGGGGACGCAAGTAGTGGGAGTTCCTTTTGGGGAGAATGATATAGGCAATCTTGTGTTGAGATCAACTGGCAGTTCTTGAACCAATAACTGAGGTTCGATTTGGTTGAAAACTAATGAATTTGAGATTATAAATAGTAAATGTATAATTTTTAATCTACTTATTTTTCAAACATAAGTGAAGTAATAAATAGCGTCTGTCATCACAAGGGGATAAAATCATTAGGAATTCAATCTTCAATAAAGTTTTATCAAACGTCTTAACGAATTGTTCTGCTAAGTACGGACATAAGGCACAATAACTGAGGGAGGAGAGCAAGGTAAGTGTGGCGAGCCTGTGTCACCAGCGTCGCCCGCCCCACGCCCCACAACCTGGCCAACTGGGGTTATTTTGGAAGAAATTGGAGATGTGACAAACAATATTGTCGCGAGGTGTCAATATGACGCTCCACTCGCTCCAGGGTGAGATATTTCAGTTGTTTATATAATCAAATTACAGGCCATGGGTAGTAGTTCCAAATATCCTCAGGGAAGGATGACACTGAACCAGTTTCGTGTTACAACACACTTAACCTAGTCAACTTGAGGTACTTATCTTAGGATACTTCGTATTTATATTTAGTTAAGTGCACTAGACTTGCCCCCTATCGTTATCACATTATATGTGCGGATTTATAGTCATCTTATAACCGTATTTGATTTTCATTAGTGTATTGCTTGTTTAGTGGGACAGTTCTAGCATATGACAGGTCAGGAGAGAAACACCGACCAATTGCTCGACACCAGAACCACAACACAGAACACCACTTACTTCCGATACCGTCTCTGTATATCATACTTGCCTCTATGTGTTTGACTAGTGATAGGTGAGCTTCCTAGATCCTCTAACAACTTTCGTGAGCGTGTAGGCATGTCAGGGAGTAAGGGCATTGCTGGTGTGAAGTCACTCATGCTATCACTCAAGCTGTCGGCGGTCAGAGGAGAAAAGTCAGAGAGCCGTTCATAGAGGGCACCTGTGAACTCGTCACTCTGAAAGGTGGAGGCAAGGCGAGCCATGGATCTGTCCTCTTCCGTCATGGAATAGTGAGAAGGTGATGGACCACGTGAACCGTAGTAATGGCGAGGGGAGGTTCGAGCCCCAGGGGAGCTGCCGTATCGGCTAGGTGGCGACCCACCCGTCTTATATGGAGAATAGCCACTGTAATAACCAGAGGAAGGGTCACGGGCGTCCCGAAGGATCTCGTCGATCGACCGTAAGACACTGGTGGTAGAGTCACGTGCTGATTGGGGCGGACTTTGATCATAAGGCCCGTAAACTCTGGGATCTGAGTAGCCCAGCTCGGCACTTTCCCGCAACCTCGCGAGGCGAAGAAGTTCTTCATGGAGTCGAGAGTTCTCTTCTATTTGTTGCCGACGCCTCGAGATTTCAGCCTTAATTTTTTGTTTTTTCTCTTCTCTTGATAAAAGATCGTCTTCGTCATCAGAAGCGTATGGTGATGGATGCCAAGATCGAGGTTTGCGAGTCTTTCTCATGGGTTTCTGACGCGAGGATCCGAACAGAGCAGAGTCGGTGAGAGTGCCACCTGGCGTGGAACTGCGGCCCCACAAGTCGGAGGGTAACCCACTTTCCGAACTGCGCCTCCCCGTACTCCTAGGAATAGAGATCGCTATATTAGAACAGTATATCGCATTTATTGAGGGAGAATACATCTAATGTGTGCTTTTAAGTTTAATTATTTTGCAATAAACAATTAAAATAATCATATAAGCAGTTTCTATTATAAGTATTTCAGTAACAAAAACAGAGTAGAAAAAAATCTCTCAAACTCCCTTATAATCATATATATATATAATGGTAACGAAGTATTAATTTTTTGTGATATATTTGATTACTTTATAATTACATTTAATTTTCATCATTGTATTGCTTTACGAGTAAAGTTGTGGCTCCCAGTATATATATAATGAAAAAGTTCTGTTTTCCTCTATTCAATCGGCCGCTTTTTTTTTTTTTTTTTTTTTTTGCCAATTATTAAGTAAGCCGCGCTGAACATAGTGAACATTTTTATTGTTACATAGAACGGCCTGGCCTCTCAAAATTGAATATGAGATATTGTACAATATATCTCAAGAAATTTTTTCCTTTTAAATTTCCTTAAAAAATTATATTTATATATATATATATATATATATATATATATATATATATATATATATATATATATATATATATATATATATATATATATATATATATAATATATATATATATATATATATATATATATATATATATATATATATTTGTAACCACGAACGAGTGGTATTAATAACAGCACTGTGACTAGCCTAGGATTCGAACCCATGTCGTTTTGGCCCACCTCATGGTGAGCGAAAATCACATGTCACTCTAACCCACGGGGCCACGCAGACCTACGTGGTCCCGTGGGTTAGAGCGTCATGTGTGATTTTCGCTCACCAAGAGGTGAGCCAAAACGACATGGGTTCGAGTCCTCGGCTAGCCGCAGTGTTGTTACTGATATAAATATGCTGTTATTTTTCCTATTCTTTCCTTTCTCACAATTATAAAAATTAGTCAATTTATAAAAAAAACTGATAATCAATAAAATTACATACATCTATCACATGCATCTAATACATGCTGTATATCTCTGTACAAAAAAAACACAAACGCAATGCAAAACAAACATCACATCTACTGAAGCTTCTTGTTCAACTTCAAACAAGCTCTTCTCTTTCTTTTGATACTTACGTCATGCACTTAAAAATAAATCTTTTGTTGAGCTACAAACAAGTCCTGCCTCTTGTGATACTAAGCTCATGCACGTAGAAGATATCTTCATAATCATTCGTAAACAACCTACCCTGTCCGACGTTGGCATGATTCTCTGGTAATTACATCCTTTATTCTAGGTGAATTGTTACCTAGGGTTGTCAATTATTATGTATGTTAACACAGACCAGCCATTGTTGCATAAACTACAAATATGTACATTTTTTTTTCACAGATCAATGTTACATGTAGGTTAAGAGCTGTTTTCCTACTTCAGCTCATTTCAGAGCCCAGCCCTATCTCCAAGATGTGACTCACACCAGTCGACTAATACCCAGGTACCTACTTTCTGCTAGGTGAACAAGGGCAGCAGGTGTAAGGAAAGATGCCCAATGTTTCCATACGTTCCGAGCATCGAACCACGGACACTCAATGTGTGAGCTGAGTGCGCTACCAACCTACCCATTGGACACCTCTAGAACGCGTTAACCACTCAGCTTCCATACTGGCTTATGTACAGTACGACTTTTTGGGCAGGATTCGTCAGTGGGTTGGTCACATAGATTTTTACCCATAACTTCTTAACATCAAATTTCTCGAGTTCGGTTGTTTACCTTCAGTTAGATTAGGCTAGGTTAGGTTAGGTTAGGTTTATTTAGGCTAGATTGTTGGGCTGTGTTAGATTAGGTTTGGTGCCTTGGAGTTAGATTATTTTCGCTCATCAAAATTAACCAGTTATTCCCCGACGCCAATAAATAAAATTTTAGTAATGTGTTATAATTGATTAATTGTGACAGGTGGGCAACACTATAGCTTAACCTAATTTATCAAAATCTTAAGGCAACGGAAATCGAGAAATTTAATGTTAAGTAGATGTATTCGCGAAACTGTGTGATCTATCCGCCGAATGTTTTTAATTATATTTTCTTCTTATACTTAGGATGCAGGTTACAAATACATATATTTTTGAAATCAGTGTGAAAAGAATTTTAAAATTGTGTATAATAATACCCCCCACCCCAGGAGTGGAACCTACACTCCTAGACAAAAATGTACGAACTTCGTTTAAATTAAAACCTCGTTATAGGGCAGCATGTGAAATTGTTCAACTGTACTGGGCATCATGGGATGTGCAAAAAAAAAACACACACACACTGACAAACAATGAAAAATATGTACAAGACACACAGAGAATCCTCACTTTATCCAGCATGTAAAGAAACTTTGAGAAAATTCAGAGATTGACTTATCTCCCGAAGATACAAATAGATAATAACATTTAAAGATTTAGGAGTTCTGGTTAGCAGTAATCTGAAACCAAGACAACAGTGCATAAGTGTTCGCAATAAAGCTAATAGAATCCTTGGCTTCATATCAAGAAGCATAAATAATAGGAGTCCTCAGGTTGTTCTTCAACTCTATACATCCTTGGTTAGGCCTCATTTAGATTATGCTGCACAGTTTTGGTCACCGTATTACAGAATGGATATAAATTCTCTGGAAAATGTACAAAGGAGGATGACAAAGTTGATCCCATGTATCAGAAACCTTCCCTATGAGGATAGACTAAGGGCCCTGAAACTGCACTCTCTAGAAAGACGTAGAATTAGGGAGGATATGATTGAGGTGTATAAATGGAAGACAGGAATAAATAAAGGGGATGTAAATAGTATGCTGAAAATATCTAGCCTAGACAGGACTCGCAGCAATGGTTTTAAGTTGGCAAAATTCAGATTCAGGAAGGATATAGGAAAGTACTGGTTTGGTAATAGAGTTGTGGATGAGTGGAACAAACTCCCAAGTACCGTTATAGAGGCCAGAACGTTGTGTAGCTTTAAAAATAGGTTGGATAAATACATGAGTAGATGTGGGTGGGTGAGTTAGACCTGATAGCTTGTGCTACCAGGTCGGTTGCCGTGTTCCTCCCTTAAGTCAATGTGACCTGACCTGACTAGGTTGGGTGCATTGGCTTAAGCCGGTAGGAGACTTGGACCTGCCTCGCATGGGCCAGTAGGCCTTCTGCAGTGTTCCTTCGTTCTTATGTTCTTAAGATAGAATAACAAGGGTATCAACAGGGCGTACGAAGTAAGAGTATATGAAATGGGAAGAAGAGAATGAAAATAAACACATAATAGTTACATCGTCTTCAAGTCTCTTCTGCTTCTATCAACTTTGCTGTACTCGACTGAAGAAGCCTACTGTGTAGGCGAAACGTTTCGAAATAAAGATGCCTAACTGTTGCACATGTGTCTTACCTAAACATAATAGTTGAATAACAGGACAGAATTCTTTCAGTTAGGTTAGATAAGATTCGTCCGGAAACAGTACAAGAGTTCCCAGACGTGAGTTTTATTTACATGACCAGCCACTGGAGGTTAAGGTTATCTGACCGACGCCTGTCCACACCTTTAAAAAATAATATTAATATACCGTATCTCTAGGTATGTTTTTTTCAGTATAATAGTATTAGGAGGAGGTGGTAAATGCTGACTTTATATAGAATTTGTAAACTAGATTTAATATAATCTAATACTGAATACAAGTTGAGTGAAGCTTCGAGGTCAGGACCGGGAGTAAGCATAGAAAAATGCACTGGAAGGTAAAAAAAGAAGGAAATTTATGGAGTTCAGCCAACCACTATAAACATGCCAACACCTCTACTTACACCCACCAGCAACACCTCTCCTTACACCCACCAGCAACACCTCTCCCTGCACCCACCAGCAACACCTCTCCTTACACCCACCAGCAACACCTCTCCTTACACCCACCAGCAACACCTCTCCTCACACCCACCAGCAACACCTCTCCTTACACCCACCAGCAACACCTCTCCTCACACCCACCAGCAACACCTCTCCTTACACCCACCAGCAACACCTCTCCTCACACCCACCAGCAACACCTCTCCTTACACCCATCAGCAACACCTCTCCTTACACCCACCAGCAACACCTCTCCTTACACCCACCAGCAACACCTCTCCTTACACACCACCAGCAACACACCTCTCCTTACGCCCACCAGCAACACCTCTCCTTACACCCACCAGCAACACCTCTTCTCACACCCACCAGCGACACCTCTCCTTACACCCATCAGCAACACCTCTCTTTACACCCACCAGCAACACCTCTCCTTACACCCACCAGCAACACCTCTCCTCACACCCACCAGCAACAACCTCTCCTTACACCCACCAGCAACACCTCTCTTCACACCCACCAGCAACACCTCTCCCTGCACCCACCAGCAACACCTCTCCTTACACCCACCAGCAACACCTCTCCCTGCACCCACCAGCAACACCTCTCCTTACACCCACCAGCAACACCTCTCTTCACACCCACCAGCAACACCTCTCCCTGCACCCACCAGCAACACCTCTCCTTACACCCACCAGCAACACCTCTCCCTGCACCCACCAGCAACACCTCTCCTTACACCCACCAGCAACACCTCTCCTCACACCCACCAGCAACACCTCTCCTCACACCCACCAGCAACAACTCTCCTCACACCCACCAGCAACACCTCTCCTCACACCCACCAGCAACACCTCTCCTCACACCCACCAGCAACACCTCTCCTCACACCCACCAGCAACAACTCTCCTCACACCCACCAGCAACACCTCTCCTCACACCCACCAGCAACACCTCTCCTCACACCCACCAGCAACACCTCTCTCCTTACACCCACCAGCAACACCTCTCCCAGCACCCACCAGCAACACTTCTATTTACACCCACCAGCAACACCTCTCCTTACACCCACCAGCAACACCTCTCCTCACACCCACCAGCAACACCTCTCCTCACACCCACCAGCAACACCTCTCCTCACACCCACCAGGA